AAAAAAAATAATAATCTAATTAATGACCACAAGGGAAAATAAGTACAACAACAAGTTAAAGAAGTTAGAAGTAAGCAAGAAATTTAGAGAAAAATTAAAAAATGATATAAAAGTAAGTGAGTTATGTTAAAAAAAAGAAGGAAAAAAAATGCAATCAACAATTATAAGACAAGAAGAAAAATAGAACAATTACTAGAAGTTAGAAGTAATTTAAAAAAAACGCTTGAAAAGTAAATGGGTTGCCTCCCATAAGCCGCCCGATTTAACGTCAATGGCTTGACACAGTTTACTACTTGCAAACATACATGCAAATAAACCATGAAGTAGTAAAGAGAAGTAAAAGTGTTTCTTTAAAACACTCAGAGAAAGTAAAAACAACGGAAGCCGAAATTCAGAACCCAAGTGCAGATTGTAAGCTTCAAATCAGTATTTAGAAACAGTTTTCTGCATTTTTGCACTTTGACATCAAAACTCAGCATATAAGGGTCAAATTTAGATTGCAAAGACAAGCTAAATACCCTTCAAGTCAGTTCCTATGCATGTATTTAACAATTAAAGTGCATAATTCAGCAAGTAGGCATCTTAGGAACTCAAATTCAGCATGAAAAGCAAGAAAAGATGTTGCAGATTTTTTTTAAAAAAACCATGCAGATCAGATTTTATCAAAAATTCAGCTCCTAAAACATCAAAATCAGCATAGAAACATCATGGCATGCTTCAAAATTTTGTCCCTAAGCAAGATTTATCAATTCTAGTTCATATATCAAGTAATTGGACACTCTAAGGGACAAGGATCAGCACATATGTTAAGTAAAAAGTGCAGAATTAAGAAAAATCAGCAACTTTTTTTTTTCAAATTTACTTGCAATTTCAGCTTTAAGTGCATCTTCAAGTGTATCAACAATAACCCGCAAGTAAAAATTCAGGGTATAGTGTTTAAATTGCTAATTTAGCAACAAAAACTCAGCAAATGAACCTTTAAAGAACACAAAAATCAGCATGTATTTCAGTGAAAATAGTGCAGTTTTTTTTTCCTTGAAAATAGCATAGACTTATCACAGTTTTTGAAAAAAACAGCACACTGTTCATCAGTTCATTCAAACCAACATATTCAAGCTTCAAAATGCAGATTTTCTGAAAACGCAGATTTTCTAAAAAACGGTACCAAATCCTTCACAAAATAGCATATTGATCACAAATTTTCAGATTAAACATAGCCCCAATTTTGAGTTCAGTTTGCTCTAGCATACATAGCCCCAATTTTAGAATGAAAACTTTTTAAGCACATGAATTGAGGCTAACTCTAACAACATAGTTTCAAACAAACAAGAACAAAGAACACTAAGACATACTAAACTGATTTCATACAACACTTTCCCCGGCAACGGCGCCAAAATTTGTTGGGGACTTGTCGTGCGGTCCAAAACAAATTAAAAATTTATAAAATATCCTTAACTAACCCCCAAGATATAATCAAATAAAAACTATAGCTAGGGCAAGTAAGGGTCGATCCCACGGAGAAAATTTGTACTTTTTAAAACCAATTTAGCATGCAAACACATTGTCACAAAAAAAATAAAATTAACTACTACACGCATAATAAAACTTATAACTAAATAAATATAAAAACTTATAAATATAACTTAAATAAACAAAGAACTTATAATATAACTTATAAACACAAAACACATACTTAAGATATACTAAAAA